AGTATAGTGTCAACACCCCCTACCATTTCAACATCTCTGTCTATTTCCCTCCCTGGATTAATTAACTTTTTATTTATATACTTGGATGCTCTGGTGTTGGTTGTATAGCTACTTACAATTTTTATATCCTTTTGCTGAATTAACCCCTTATCATTATAAAATAACCTTGTGTCCTTTTACATTCTTTGAGTTGTAACCCATTTTGTGGCATATAACTATACCTGCTCCTAGTATGGTTTGGTTTCCACTTGTATGAAATATCATTTTTTAATCCCTTCACATTCAATCTCTGTGTGTCTTTAGGTAAAGTGGATTTCTTGGAGTAATTTCTTTCTATATCAAGTTTATTTAAAGGGTTTTTAGGAAGATATTGAATGTTAGCAAAGACTTTTTCTGTGTCTTTTGATGTGATTATTTGATTTTTTTCTTCATTCTATTGATGTGATGTATAACATGTATTGATTCGTGTATGTTGAACCATCTTTTAAAAAATTCACTTGGTTGTGTTGTATTATCTTTTTGATGTGTTGCTGGATTCAGTTTGCTATTATTTTGTTAAGGATTTTTGCATCTGTTAATCAGTGGTATTAGCTTGCAGTTTTATTTTGTGCTGTTTTGTGTCCTTGTCTGATTTTTGTATTAGAGTAATACTGGCCTTGCAGAATCAGTTAGGAAGAATTGCATCTACTCCTATCATTTTGAGTAATTGGAGAAGAATTTGTATTAATTGTTCCTTCAAAGTCCAGTAGAATTCAGCAGTGATGGTATCTCATCCTGAAAGCTTCTTTGTTGGAAAACTTTTAATTACTCATTCAATCTCATTACTTCTTATTGGTCTGTTCAGGTTTTCTATTTCTTCTTGGTTCAATCTTGGTAGATTGTATGTGTCTAGGTAATTATCCATTTCCCACAGGCTTTTCAATTTTTAGTGTATACCCGTGCATAGCAGTTTTTAATAATCCTTTGTATTTCTGTGGCATCTGTTGTGACATCTTCTTTTTCATTGCTTATTTTAATTTGGCTTTCTCTCTTTTGACTTAGTCTAGCTAAATGTTTGTCAATTATATTTGTCTTTTCAAAAAAACTGATACTTCTTTTGTTAATCCTTTGTATTTTTTAGTACTGATTCTTTTTATTTCTGCTCTCATATTTAGTATTTCCTTCAGTAATTTGGGGTTTTGTTTTTTCCTGCTTTTCTAGTTCCTTGAAGTTTATTGTTAGTTGTTTATTTGAAGTTTTTCTAATTGTTTGTGATGCAGGCATTTATGGCTATATAATTGCTTCTCATTATTGCTTTGACTCTGATCAGTAGGGTTGGTATGTGCTATTTCTCTTTTTATTTGTTCAAGAAATTTTAAAATTTTATTCTTAATTATTCTTTACCCATTGGTCATTCAGAAGCACATTCTTTAATTTCTATGTATTTGTATGATTTTAAATTTTATTCTTTGTTACTGTTGTCTGGTTTTATTTCATGTGGTCAGATAACTACTTGATATAATTTTGAGGGTTTTTTTTAGACAGAGTCTTGCTCTGTTAGCCAGGCTGGAGCAATGTCTACTGAACCATTTGTCTATTGGAGCAATTTGTCTACTGGACAATGGCATGATCTCGGCTCACTGCAACCTCCGCCTTCTGGGTTCAAGTCATTCTCCTGCCTCAGCCTCCTGAGTAGCTGGGACTACAGGTGTGTGCCAACACGACCAGCTGATTTTTTGGATTTTTAGTAGAGATGGGATTTCACTGTGTTAGCCAGCATGGTTTCAATCTCCCGACCTCGTGATGTTCCTGCCTCTACCTCCCAAAGGGCTGAGATTACAGGTGAGAAACACTGCACCTGGCCATGATTTAGACTTTTAAAATTTTTTTGAAAATTACCTATGTTCTAACATATGACTGGTTTGGGAGACTGTTCCAAGTGCTGATGAGAAGAATGTGTATTCTGTAGCTAGCTGTTCAATGAAATGTTCCTTAAATGTCAGTTACAGTCATCTGACCTATGGTGCAGTTTAGGTGCTATGTTTCTTTGTTGATTTTCTGTCCAGGTAATCTCGCTAATGCTGAGAGTGAGATACCAAAGTCCCCTACTCTCCCTTTAGATCTCATAATATTTTGTCTATATATTTGTGTGCATACATAATAACAATTGCTGTATTTTCCTACTTAACTGATCCTCTAATCATTATATGATATACTTCCTTGTTATTTTTTACAGCTCTTAATGTCAAGTCTGTTTTGCCTGAGTATATGTATAGATACTCCTGCTCACTTTTGGATTCTATTTGCATTGAATATCTTTTTTCTATTACTTCACTTTCAATTTTTGTGTCTCTGAAGGTTAGAAAAATCTCTCATAGGCAGCACAGAGTTGGGTCTTATTTTTATATCCATTCAGTCAGCCTATATCTTTCAAATGGGAAATTGAATCTGTTTATTTTCAGCATTATTATTGATAGATGAATGCTTACTCTTGTCATTTTACTCATTGCTTTTGGTTGTTTTGTATATAATTCATTCCTTTCTTCCTCTCATCTTTTTATTTTACTGTTTGGGTAGATTTCTGTAGTAATAAAGTTTGAATCCTTTCTCTTTTTGTTTATCAGCTCTGCCAGTGAGTTATAGTTCAACATGTTTTCATAAGGGTGGTTATAATCTTATCACTACCAGATGTAAGAGTCGCATGAACATTTCTTGTGAGGCTACTCTAGTGGTGGTGAATTTCCTGTGTTGCTTCTCTGAAAGGTTTTATTTCTCCTTTATTTGTGTAGGATAGTTTTGCTATGTATCTAAGATGGTGAGAAATCTGGTTGCCCATTTTGATTTCACTTTCTTCATTGTAGAAACAATGATTCAGGGGAAATTTTCCACATGCTTAGTGCTATGCAGGTTATGGGGAAGGTCATATGGACCATATTCATATGGAGGGTCATCATGAATATAAAAATTCAATATTCTAACCATATGCTCAGATGTTTTTCACTTCTTCTTAGCCCCAAGAACTGTTTCTTTCTTATGTTTGTGTTCTGGGAGTAAAGCCAGCCTGAATGTATGCTGCTATTTTGAAACCAACAGTTTCTTGTATTCCTTTTTATTAGATTGTTTTGTATATATTTTTATTGATACAATTAAAATCACTCTTTAACTCAGTGGCCTAGAAAACCATTTTATTTGCTTATGACTCACATGAACACTTTGGTGGTGGCTAAGTGGGGCAGTCCTTCTGGTTTTACCTGGATTATTCATGTACCTTCAGTCAACTGGCAGATTGATTGTGGCTAAATTATGCATCTATTAGTTGGTGCTGGTTCTCCTCATTTTGTCCTTAACAAATCATTCAAGATTTATTTGTATGGTGAAGGAAGAGTTTACAGCAGGAAGAAAAGGGAAATGCTTTTCAAGCCTCTGCTTGCCTCACATTTGCTAATGTCTTGTTAGTCAATGTCCAAAATCACATGGTCAAGCTTAGAGTCAGGGTAGGAGAAGACTGAACAAGGAATGATAAAGACAAAATACAAAGTTATAAGATAAGGGATCACTCCTTATTACCGAGTCTTAACATAGAATGAGTCTGAAAATTTATTCCCATCAGCCCAAGTATAGTATGGAAAGATAGAGAGCCAGTGGATTTGAATGAGATATCTCTCAGCAAGAGTAGTACCAACCAGTTATCCAGGACCAGATAGCAATGGGAACATCTTGGCAGATGCCAGCCTACATGGATAATGCAGAGGAACAGATAAGTGTCACCCCATCCTTCTACAACCCCCATAAGTCCTTGGGGGGTTAGACTGTTAGACTCCAAAATATAGACACATTCATAAGAAAAGAAAAGAAATCTTGAGGGTCTACAATCTGAGAATAGAGAATGAAATTAGAAACTAAAATGAGCTACTTAAAATATACAACAGTACAATGTTTATATACCTCAATTTATAGGCTCAAATTGGTAGCACTACATATTAAATCCTTAATCCATGCAGGTTTTTCTAGAAAGAGTTTCATGGTCACACTTCCTAAATCCTGTGATTTTCTTTAGGAGGATCAAAATATCTATTAACATATTAGCATCTTCGATAAAACTTGCAGTAAAGAAACCCAGTATTTTCCACATGTATTTGACCTTGGAGACACTTTTAGAGTAACCCCATTGATTAACAATCCTGAGAACATATATGAATAAACATTGCTCTAAGTTTATTGTCTTAAATCACAGATTTTACCTTTGTGCTTACCTACTCAAAAACCTTCAATGGATCTCTACTTTTTTTTTTTCTAGAAAAATGTCCTTTTGAAGATCCTCCACAATGCAACCTGCTCTTTTAGTCTAATTTTATCTTTGCTGTTTCCCAGTGTAGATCCTTGGCTTTCATAAAGGTCAAACACTTTACTCTTTCCTAAACAAGACTTCCTCAAATTTCTAACTATAATCCTCTACTCCCTTTGGTCTCTATATATCCACACACTGGGTAAGCCATTTAAGCTCTCTTCTTTACAATGTTTCGTCTGAGCATTCAGCTCAAATTCATTGTTCCCATATAACACAGGAGGACCTGACCCCAGTAGACATAGTACCACTGGGAATATGTGGTATATTTATGTATTGTTCAGAAACATACAATTGTTGTGTTAAATCAGTATATCTTGGGTTTTATATAACATTTTTTTTGGTCTAAGAATGTTTAAAATATATTGCTTTTAAAGTGTGGCTTAATGTCTGCTAAAAATGCATGTATTAATAAATATGTGCAGTTTTCTACGAATGTAGGGATTTTACATGAATTACAAATATTGGTACACTTCAAAACTGAAGAGATGGAAGAGCACATGAATTTGCAGTGCATAGTAAAAAGATGTTAATTTGACTAACTTAGTACATTTTTTGAGATAGATTTTTTGCTCTGTCACCCAAGCTGGAGTGCAGTTGCAATTATAGCTCACTGCAACCTCTAGTTCCTGGGCTCAAGGGAGCCTTAGTCACCCAGGTAGGTGGAGCTGCAGGTATGTGCCACTGTGCCCAGCTACTTTTAAAATTTTTTGCAGATACTGAGTCTCGCTATTTTGTCCAGGCTAATACTTGGTACATTTTTAAGATACGACTTCACAGCTTGGACTTATTCATGAGTGTATACTGGAATATACTATTTTTATTCAGCATGCCAAAAGTGGAATATTGATGTGATATATTTGGGGATAACTGCATTAATGTGAAAATTATTTTAAACATTTTATCCAACCTGCAGAATAAAAGGGGCAAAAAATATGTACGTTGAAATGCGTCTATGAGTTTTTGAGCCAGAAAGTAACACATGCAAAATCTCTCAAATTTGAAGAGAAGATTTTTTTTTTAAAAAAAAGGAAGTAAAGCTGAGATTTGACTAATTTGTCAATTGTGACTCATAGAAGAGATTTTTGCCATATGGAAATAAGTTAGTAAATGATAATGTTCCCCTCAGGATATTTAAGCAAAATAGCTCCTTGAGAAAGGCAATTTATTTCTTAATTTTGAAGAAAGATCCTAGGGACTGATAAACTGTGAAAGGACCCAACAGTATAATCTAGAGTTAGTAAAAGGCAATTAGACTTTCTGATACTGGCCTTTACCACAGCTGGGAGTAAGACTGTGTAATCATTAATCAGTCTGAACATACTGGTATACTTAATATTAAAGGTTTCCAAAAACAGAGGAAAGGTACGTAAGATGAGTATCATATTTTGTTCCAGAGAAAAAAACTCATAGGCTCATGTATCAGGAAACTAGTTTTCATTGATGGTGTGGATTAATTACTATGATATACTGAGTTAAATACACACACACACACACACACACACTTTTTATTCCACAAAGGCAACATGTAAGACTTTGAGGGATTAGTGTAAAAAGCCTTTTATTCAGAAAGCACTGGGCATTGCCTTTCACATTTTTCTGTACTTCTTTCCACACTGGCCAAATGAACCAGTGCTCTAAAGATCTGTAGTGAATGCCAATTCTATTTTCCATGTTTGTTCTATGTTGTATTTGTCCATAGAATCTAGGAAAACACTGATTTTTCCTTTTTGCCTTGGTCCTCAATGTCAATCTTAATTTTTCTGGTTTAGTCCTTCCAGAGAAGGTTTAGTCCTTCCAAAGAAATTGTTCCTTGGATATGTAAAAGAAAATGCTAGAAAATAAAATTGTCAAAGAAGAATTACAAGTTTCTAAAATAGAAAAAGAGAAACTACATTGTGTTTACACAGATGTTATAATAAATTTTGTTACAAGGAAATGTATGATTATTAGCATCTTAACAAATATCACCCTATTAGTTCTCCAGTATAGAGCAGAGCTTCATGGGAGGAAATAATTTGGATTATCTACAGGAAAGCTGGGGGACCTAGGAAGAAGGACCAAGGAAGAAAGAACTGAGAAGAGGCCACCACACCCAGCCTCTCCCAAGATTTTTATTTAAAAAATGCTGTTAGGTTGGGTGCAATGGCTCATGGCTCTAATCTCAGCACTTTGGGAGGCCAAACCAGGTGGAACACTTGAGGTTAAGAGTTCAAGACCAGCCCAGGCAACATAGCAAAACCTCATCTCCATCTCTACTAAAAATACAAAAATTAGCTGGGCATGGTGGCACACCCCTGTGTGCCAGCTATTTGGGAGGCCAAGGCAGGAGAATCACTTGACCCTGGGAGGTGGAGGCTGCAGTGAACCATGATCATGCCACTTCACTCCAGCTTGGGTAACAAAGTAAGACTGTCTCAAAAAAATATATATAGCAGTTAAATCTTGACCTCTTATTCCTAGTGTCCACTATCACACAACATCAAAGGACCAACACTGGAACTTTTGATTACTGCCCAGTGTTCAATTAAACAGTATCTAATATAAAGGTACACACGCTTCTCCCAATGTTCAATTATGCAATATCTAATATAAATGTACATACTCTTTTACCTGTTTAATGGGTCATTTCTAGATATTATGGTATTTTCTCTTTGTAAGACTAGTACTTGCTCTTTCAATTAGCAAGTTTTTGTCCAGTTGCCTAACTCTCCCAAAAAGAGTTTGTAAAGGTGAATGCCTAAAAATGATTAACATGCTACATTTTCTGCTTTGTGCTATCAAGATTAGTTCAAGATATAAATATATTTTCTACTGTTTCTGATTTGAAAACTAATTACATATCAAATTAAATAATCTAGATCATTGCCTGATTTAAACATTTTATATTACACTGTGTGCTATGAAGAATAAATTAAAAACTTTCTAAAGAAGGCAAATTTCCAATTTCCTATGCTATTATTCATGATTATGTTTCAGATAAAACTGGGAAATAAAAAGTTTTGTTTCTTCAAAATAAAAAAGAACTAGCAGAAAAAGAATTTTTTTAAGGCAATAAAAACACTGACATAATAATGGTTACTCCTTGGAGGGGAAAGGTAATGCGGTAGAGAAAAGGTGAAAAAGAAACATCAAACATATGTGTACTATTTCCTTAGTTAAAAAAATACTTAAAAATTCTAGCATTATGTCATATGCTTCAGTTATCTATCAAAACATAATTTTATGACATAAATATGTATAGCATATGCATGAATGCATGTGTGCCTATGTACATATATATATACACATATAAACATATAAAACATTGCTCAATTAATAACTAAACAAGTAAACTACAAAAATTCATATGTATATGTATTTTAAACCCGAGATAATTCAGTCTCTGTAGAGACTGTCAAAAATTGCCAATGCTGATTATATTTCAAGTCGTCGTGGCGGGGTATTGGGAAAAGTTTCCAATTAGCAATAATCGCACCTCAGGTAAACCTCATAGGCTATGATGCTGCCACTATGCAAAGCTAAAGTACAGAAATTTTTATCATAACTTTATTTTCTTATATTTTTGTGATTTCTCTATATTGATGGATGTGAATCTGATTTACTCAGTCTAGTTGCTATACAATACTACTCCATTAAATGAATAATGCATTAATCTCTAGATTAGATAGATAGATGATAGATCAATACAGATATATATACTTCCTGGAGCTTTGCCTAGATTGTTAGTTTTCAAAGGAAGTTTTAAAAAATTATCTCTATCAACGTTTTTTCTAGATTACTAAATTGTGCTTCGTTTTTGTTATTATCTTCAACTTTCTTATTGTTCTTTTATATTCTCTAGCTAGCTTCTTAGATTAAATGCTTAATTTATTTTTTGTAATAAATATATTGGAGCTATTAATAATTTCTAGATATTGTTTTAGCTGTACCTCACAAATTTTGATTTTGTTTTTAATATTTTAATATTTTTACTATCATTCACCTATTTTATTTTATAGTTTTCTTTGTGACTTTTCTTTAAAGCCACTAATTTTGGGGGTTTTGTTTTCTTACATCTTACAAACTGTGACCTTTTAATTAATATTTGTAAGTTAATTTCTAATTTAGTGATCCGAGAATACAGTTTAAATGATTATGATTGTGACTAAGAGCAGTTACTTTTTTAACGTACATGTGATAATTTGATACATTCATATAATATGTAAAGATCAAATCGGTGTATCCAGCATATCCATCACCTTAAATATTTTCCTTTTCCTTATGCTAGAAATATTCAAATTATTATTTTCTACCTATTTTGAAATGTACAATAGATTATTGTAAACTATAGCCATCCTACTCATCTAACACTAGCTCTTATTTCTTCTATCAAACAGTGCATTTGTACTTATCAATCAATTCCTTCTCTCACCTCCTACTATGCTTCGCAGCTTCTAGTAATCACCAATCTACTCTCTATAGTCATGAGATGCACTTTTCACCTCCCATGTATGAGAACATGCAATGTTTGTCTTTCTGTGCTTCACTTATTACTTTAAACATAATGATCTCCTGTTCTATTAACATTGGAGCAAATGACAGGATTTCATTTTTTATGGCTAAATAAGAGTTTATTTTGTATGTATACCACATTTTCTTTGTCCATTCATTCCTTGATGGGTATTTAGACTGTTTCTCTACTTTGGCTATTGTGAATAGGACTGCAATAAACATGGGACTATAGATATCTCTTTGATATGTTGATTTCCTCTTTGGGGAGTTATATATTCAGTAGTGGAACTGATGGATCTTATGGTAACTCTATTTTTAGTTTTCTGAGGAAACTCCATACTGCTCTCCATAGTGGTTGTAATAATACTGTACAAGAGTCCCCTTTCTCCACATCTTTGCCAGCATCTTTTATTTTTAGTCCTTCTGATAAAGGCCATTCTAACAAGGATGAGAAGATATCTTTTACTTTTTGAGACGGAGTTTCGCTCTTGTTACCCAGGTTGGAGTGCAATGGTGTGATCTCAGCTCTCCGCAATCTCCGCCTCCTGGGTTCAGGCAATTCTCCTGCTTCAGCCTCCTGAGTAGCTGGGATTACAGGCACGTGCCACCATGCCCAGCTAATTTTTTGTATTTTTAGTAGAGATGGTGTTTAACCATGTTGACCAGGATGGTCTTGATCTCTTGATCTCTTGACCTCGCGATCCACCCACCTTGGCCTTCCAAAGTGGTGGGATTACAGGCGTGAGCCACCGCGCCTGGCCTGAGAAGATATCTTATTAAGTTTTTTATTTGTATTACTCTGATGATTAGTGATGAGCATTATGCCGTATGCCTACTGACCGCCTGTATGTCTTCTTTGGGAAATTGTCTATTCAGATCTTTTGCTAGTTTTTAAAGCAGATTTTTTTTTTTGCTATTGAGTTGTTTGAGTACCTTATGTATTCTGGTTATTAATTGCTTGTCAGATTGGTAATTTGCAAACATTTTCTCCCTATTCTCTGAGTTATCTCTTACTTTTTATTGTTTCCTTTGCTTTACCAAAGCTTTTTAGCTTTATGGAATCCCAATTGTCTATTTTTGCTTTAGTTTTCTATGTTTTTGAGGTGTTTGAAAAAAATATTTGCCTAAATCAATATCTTGGAGTGTTTTTCCTAACTTCTCTTCAAGAAGTTTCATGGTTTCCATCTTAGATTTAAGTCTTTAACCATTTTTATTTTATTTTTAAGTATGGTAAAAGAAAGAGGTCTAGTTTTATTCTTCTGCATATAGTTATTGTTTGCTAAGCACCACTTATGTCTTTTCCCTATTGTATGTTCTTGGTGCCTCTGTCAAAGATGAGTAGGCTGTAAATGTGTGGATTTACATCTGTGTTCCCTATTCTCTTCCATTGATCCATGTGTCTGTTTTCATGCCAGAGCCATGCTGATTTTGTTCCTAGAGCTTTGTAGTAAATTCTGCAGTCAGGTAATGTGATACCTTCAGCTTTGTTCTTTTTGTTTAAGGTTGCCTTGACTATTCAGGATCTTTTGTGATTCCATTTATTTTATGATCATTTTTATTGTTGTGAAGAATATAATTGGTATTTTCATAGGGATTGCATTGATTCTGTGAATTGTTTGAGATACTATTGTGATTTTTAACAATATTAATTCTTCCAGTTCATGAGCATAAAATATATTTACATTTTTGTTTATGTCTTCTTCAGTTTCTTCCATCGGTGTTGTATAGTTTTCCTTGTGAGATCTTTCACATCTTTGGTTAAATTGAATCCTAGGTCTTTTACATTCTTTGTCGATATTGTAAATGGAATTGCTTCTTTGCTTTCTTTTTCAGATTACTCACTTTTTATATATATAAATGCTACTAATTTTTGCATTTTGATTTTGTAGCCTGCAACTTTATCAATATATCTCTTTAGGGTAGTAACATATTATGAGCATGTGAGAGTTTTCCTATAAAGTATATAATCTCTGAAATATATTTAGATTAATAATATACTTACCTGAATGCAATTCAATCAGCAAAGGTGAATCTTCTCTGTTTCACAACTTCTTCTCCAGCTTTTACAATACCATACTCCAAATTATAACATATAGAGCCTACAAAAATCTCAAAGTACATTTTTATCAGTGCTCCCTTTATAAAGTTAAAAAAAGAAAACAAAACATGTTATGTAATTAAAACAGAACATGTTATACAGTTCTAAAAGATATCTTGAATTTATTCATTTATTTATTTATATCTTATTCTTTTCAAATTCTACATATGACCTTAAGGAGACCATATCCAAAGCATTAACAGAAGAGATTGTTTAGTTGATTAAGATGGGAGCATAAGTGCTTGAGAACAATGAACGGTGGCAGCTGGATCTACTGATCAAAATGACAGCATACTATTTTTAAACAAACGTAAATGGAAAGTAGGACATCTGTATGAAAACTTAGGTCTTTTAGAAGCAAGAAATTTTTGTTTTTTAAGTAATCAAGGACATAAAGTAGCATAAATATACAATATTAATCTGCTAAGAAAGAGAATCTCAGCTATTTGAGTAGATTACATGAAAAGTAACAAATAATTTTATCATCACTTAAAAGCAGACTGAATACTCCCACATCAATTTGTCATTTTAACAGAGAGGAAGCCATGTTAACATAATATTTTAGCAGTAAGGAATTCATGGGGTTCTTTTCTTTTTATCTTATAATTAAACTCATAAAAGCTGAGTTAACATTGCCAAAATTTTAATGGCTTTCATTGCTTTTCTTCAGACTCACTTGCAATTGCTATAAATTAAGACAAAGTTTCTACAAGCAATGCCCAATCTTGGCTTTCTGGGCCACATTGAAAGAAGAATAATTTTCTTGGGCAACACATAAAATACACTAACACTAACAATAGCTCATGAACTAAAAAACATAATCTCTCTCTCTCTCTCTCTCTCTCTCTCACACACACACACACAACTCTCTCTCTTTCACACACACACACACACACACACACACACAAATTTCGTAATTTTTAAGAAAGTTTACAGATTTGTTTTGGGCTGCATTCAAAGCCATCCTGGGCCGCATGTGGCCCACAGTCCGATGGTTGAACGAGCATGCTTTATACAAACCTTTTAAACTTTCTCTGTCCATACACGTTTTTTTCTTTCACTACTCTACTTAACTTTCTCGACAACCAGACTCTTTGTTTTAAGACAAAACTACTCTCTTTTCCCACTGATGAATAAAAACACATTCAAATACTTTGCATACATACTTGGTCTTTTTCTGAAACCATAGATCCCAGGATAGCTTCAATGTTCATCTTTAACCAGAATATCTAATTTATCTTTTACAAAAATTTGGAAGTAATTGAGCACACAAAACAATTCCCTACAGCTGCATGCACAATTTTTACACCTTCTTAAAATGGAAAAAATATAATCAAAAGGTATAAAATTTTATAACATGCAAATAATAAGCAAAAATATGGTCTAATATTTCAGCATTTTATCTTGCATAGAAATTATCCAAACATTCAAATATTATCCTTTAATTTATCATTAGCCTAGGTTCCTAAAGTTAACTAAAAAACTTGGAAATTATGTTTAAGCAGACTTACCACTTAACATACTTTCTGTTTAATAAAAAGTTTTTCAGAATTACATTCTAATTTAGTTAAATAATAATTGTTTAGAAAATTTTTATAGATTCATGAGGTTCATGTCCTGAGGTCTATGCCAAGGAAAGGAAAAAGGAAAGAAGAAAGGGAAGGGGAGGGGAGGGAAGGAGAGGGGAGGGGAGGGAAGGAGAGGGAAGGGAGGGGAGGGGAGGGGAGGGGAGGGGAGGGGAGGGAAGGGAAGGGGAGGGGAGGGGAGGGGAGGGGAGGGGAGGGGAGGGAAGGGGAGGGGAGGGGAGGGGAGAGGAGGGGAGGGAAGGGAAGGGAAGGGAAGGGAAGGGAAGGGAAGGGAAAAAGATCAACAATTGCTGAAACAATTGTACAGCAAACAATCAATAGAGAAGAAACAACCTATGAAATGGGAGAACATATTTGCAAACCATGCATATACCAAATACATATAATAAATTAAATAAATCAATTGTAAGAAACATATAACCAGATTAAAAATGGGCAAAGGGCCAGGCATAGTGGTTCACTCCTGTAATCCTAGCACTTTGGGAGGCCAAGGCAGGTGTATCATTTGAGGTCAGGAGTTGACCAGCCTGGCCAACATGATGAAATCCTGTCTCTACTAAAAATGCAAAAATTAGCTGGGTATGGAGCAAGTGCCTGAAGTTCCAGCTACTGGGGAGGATGAGGTAGCAGTGAGCTGAGATCGTGGTATCGCATTCCAGACTGGTTGACAAAAGCGTAACTCCATCTCAAAAAAAAAAAAAAGAGCAAAGAATATGAATAGATAATTTCCAAAAGAACACATACAAATGGGCACAGGTATATGAAGAAAATTATCAGCATCACTAGTCATCAAGGATATGGAAATCAAAACCACAATGACATATCATCTCACATATGTCAGAGTTACTATTATCAAAGAGACAAAATATAAGTGTTGATGAGGATGTGAAGAATAGGGAACCCTTGTACACTACATAAATTGGTATAGCCATTATAGAAAACAGTATGAATGTTCCTCAGAAAAATAAAAGTGTACATATGATCTAACAATCCCACTACTGGTTATATATCTAAAGGAAATGAAATCAGTATGCTGAAGAGATTTGCATTCCTATGTACATTACAGCATTATTCACAATATGCGAGACATGAATCAACTCAACTGTCCATAATGGGTAATGAATAAAGAAAATGTGGGATATATAGATAATAAAATACTATTCAGCTATAAAAAATGAAATTCTGCCATGCCATTTGCAATAACATAGATGGACCTGGGACACTCTATGTTAAGTGAAATAAACCAGGGACAGCAAGGCAAATGGAATCTAAATAAGTCTAAACAAAGAGTAAACTGGTGGTTACCAGAGGCTGACAGATGGGGGTATTGGGAAAATGTTAGTTGAAGTATATCAACTTTCAGTTGGATGGGAGGAAAAAGTTCAAGAGATCCATTATACGGCATGAAGGCTGTAGTCAATAACAATAAATTGTATACTTAAAAATTGCTAAGACAGTAGATTTTAAGTGTTCTCACCACAGACAAAAAAAGTATGTCTGAGGTAATATATAACGTAAAATAGCTCTATTTAGCCATTTCACAATATATGCAAATAACAAAACATCATGTTGTACATCATAAATACATAACATTTTTACTTGTCAATTAAAAATAAAAAAAGTTTAATATCTAACAATATTTTAATATATGTGAAAGAGTATTAAATTTGTATAAAACCAAAACATAGCTATGAAGCTTATAAAGAAAACTGGTATAAAATAATAACTGTCAAATCCACAATTATAGATAAAGCAGACAAAGAAATTAAGGTTAGATCAAGCAGTCAAAACTCAGCAAGCCTGGTATAACAGGCATGTGGGGAACCCAACAGACAGGGAGCACGTTCACTTCTGGGATACCTAAGTCAGTGTTGAAGCATTTCTCAACAATTAAAGGTGATATATTGGCAAAATGCAATAAAATTATCTCCCCCAAGCATATATATTGAGGAAACTGAAAACTACACTTCTAAATCAGTCTTAAGTGAAAGAATATATAATAAAGGTCCAAATATATATAGAAAAAATGATGAAAATTTTATATTTCAATACTTGTGCAATGGTGCTGAAGTAGTACTAGGAAAGATTTACAGAATGCTTTGCATATAGTATCCACATATTAGAAACAAGGAAAGAATGAAAATGTGTGACTTAGGTATGCAATATATAAAAATAGAAAAAAGCAGTATGTACATGACAGAAGTAGAATGAATAAAATGATCAAATTAAGAACAAAAATTAATATAGGCGAATTTTACTTATAAACATTAGAAACAAAATGCTGTGTGAAATGTCAAGACAAATCAAGGAATATATACATTTAAAATGTGAGAAACTAAGTGTCAGCATGGATTTGGAACAACTAACTTTCCTACACTGCTGCTTGATGAGAAATGTTAAAAATCACTCTGAAATTTTAATAAATTCATAAATTAGGAAACATATCCAAATGAAAGAAGATCTTGGCATTACATTTAAGACTGTTCTAATAATTTGCAAACGCTTCAATTTCTCCTTTCATTTTTCTGGGAAATTTTTAACCATTTACTGAATGTCAGTAATTAGGAATTCTCCAAAATGCTGGAAAACACAATTATGCACAGGACAGAGTTTGTGCTATAAAGGGATTCAGGGACAACTTCAATGACAGACCTGAAACTACTAATAGATGAGAACATAGAAGTATCATAGGTATTTACAAAGGAATATGATGAAAAGTAAATTGGACATAAAGATTAATTCTGCTAATTCTGCTCAAAGAGAGGTCTGTGGACAGAATGTGCACAGAAAATACTTCCCAAATATGGCGATATTTAAGTATGACCTTGTAGGATGAATGAGTTTTCCTTGCAAATAGCTTCTGGGGAAGGGTGAAGATAGAATTTTAAATAGCATCAACAACATGAAGAAAGTTTCGAAGATAAGAAAGTGCATGGTATGTTTGAGGGGTATGTGTAGTGATGAAAGAAGAAGCTGAGAAGTTAGCTAGACACAGTGGTGTGCTAGCTAACCTCAGCTGTTGTGGAGACTGAGATGGCATTATCACTTGTGCTGGGAGTTTGAGACCAGCCTGGGCAGCAGGGCAAGACCCCTGTCCCATATATACATATGGCTAAACTGAATGGTATGTATGATATTAGAAGGAGTAAAATAGCTACTATGAAATCACCAGCACATCAAATTGTTTTAAATCCACTACTGAAAGAAATAACTCATTTGCAAAAGAATGTCACGTGACTACTTGAAATTCTAGAGTTAACATATATTACTGACTGCTTAAACATTCCAAGAAATTTCTACTATTTTAATTCAAAACATTTAGGTCATTTAAAAAAGATAATTTTGGTGAGGATAAAATAGAAAATTTTGAAATACTATATTTGTGTGTATGTTTCTTTTTAAAATATGTGTTATCTCTTTGGACATTCACTGAATGAGAATGTTTTTCTCTCCTGATACTTTTTAAAGAGGTAGCTAACCTACCTCTTTGAAAAAAGTAGCATGCATTTTATAATGAAAGGAATTGTGCTATCATCTCAGTTCTGTGTTTAATATGCTTAAACACATATAAAACCCTAATTTAATAGAGCTAATATGCTTAATATTTTTAATTTTTAAAAAATTTAAATCATATATTAGGGCTATGTAGGTTACATACAACAGATATCCACTTGGATTTTCTTAAACCAAAAGGAATTTGTAATAAGGATATTCAGGTGGAATTCCAAAAGGGACTTGAGCAATTAAGCTCCAGGAATAGTAAAAATGATGATAGCTCCAGAAACCTCAGAAATAAGAGTCTTGTGTCTTCTCAGTTCCATTCTCAAGAATGTAATTCACTGTTGGATCCATCAGCCAAGGTCAGTCTGGCAGGACCATAGAGAAGAGCAGCAAGTTAGACCAGTAGGGGGCGGGCTACTTCGCACTGAATCAATACACACGTGAAAATATGAATTTCACGCATGTTTCTTCCTCCAAATAGGAGTTCCAAATAATTAAAACATTTTGTCTTATGAATGAGTGGAGTCTAAATGTCTTGTATTCTTTTTGTATCACTGAACTTATACATCCTCTTTATCCTAATACTTGTCTATAAAGAAAAGGTATGTAAAAAGAGCACAGGCCAAGTTCAAACATTTTCTTTATGTTTTGTTTGGGAAAATATCTGACATAATATTTGTCAGAGGCGAAATGTAACAGTTGCCAGGGAACTACAGTCAGTGGCTATAAAAAGATTAAGACAGGTCTTGTATTAAATATTACCCTTAGCAAGAAAGTCCAGCTAAAGAATGGCAAATGAGAGGGCTGACACACACTTACTGTACAAGAGATACGATAAAGAAGCATTCAGTTTGCGGAAATCAAACAGTCCCTGTTTAAGTTTGAATGCAGACTTTCTCTTTGGTTGTACTGTGAAAAGGAGATGGATTTGAGTCATGGAGCATGGGCTTTGCACTTCCCTCGGCTAAGGAAAAAAAAAAAAAACTTGAAGAAGCTCAGGAAAGAGCCCAAATGCACACATGTGGAGCTGGCCTGAAGCACTGGAGTGGGTCTTAACCCTAAAGAGTGCTGTAAGGTTAAAAGGATCATGTTACCTGAGGTCTCTGGAAAAGCCCGGAAAAGAAAACATAACGCAGGCCAATAGTAGGTCACTAACTGAACCCTTATTGCATCCCAGACACTTCACTGACATTCTCTTGCTTTATTTTAAATGATCTTCAAAATAATCTGAGGTAAGCATTATTCTTCCCTACAGTTTACAACTGAAAAAACCTGAGGCTCAGGGAAATCAAGCAGCTTGCTCAAGTAAATGAGAGAGTCAGAATCTGAACCTTGGGCTCGTGCTTTTGGGGCCGCGTTCTCATGACCACACAGACATCCTCTCCTTCTTAAGAAAGCACCAGATGTCCTTGGAAGTTTATGCTTTTAAACCTTGGCTCTGGAAAGTAGTGAGGGACTGACAAGTGGCCCCACATAAAGTCCAAGCCTTTGAACCACATGAATTTACTCTAATACTTCCTATAAACAGATGTCAGCATAAAGAATTTAAGAGGAAAACCAGTCCCTTCGTTGTTAAAAGATTACCCTAAAGTATACCAAGTGATGATAGTTTCTCAGGCAGCACCATACCTTAGTAAAGCACTAACTTTGTGTCATATTTTTTACTGGGGTTATGAATTTGATTCTTTTTAAATGGTTGGCAATTTAGCAGGTCCTATTTGCCAACCCCTTAACACTTTTCTTGCAACTATAACAAAGTGTACTCCATACTTGTGTAAGTGTGACTATTTCTCTATTTGTATATCCATCCAAAACAGGGTTGTAGCTCTTTGTTCTCATTTCTGTGTTTATATATTAGAATTAACAAGGATATTTACTAGTGTTCTGAGCATGCATGACAAATTTTTTTACTATAATTACGTATAGTTAACTTAAAACATTTACATACGTATATAATTTATATGTTGTAATTAATAATTATAGAAATCATATAATCAATTATAATTAATAAATTTAATAACAGAAAGTAACTAATATTTTATAGAATCACAAATTTCCATATCATATGTGTTTTTTTCTTCTTTTACAAATTTTTTTCTTTTCTAACTTGCATATTGATTTTTTATGTATCTCCTCAACTATATTATAGACACTATTTGGTAAGGGCTCTAACTTAATTGTAGTCTTAGTTTTTGTACTACAGTGGTATTTATCTTGGCTATGCTAGAAATTAGTACTCTTTAAATTTTATACCTAAAGACAGTACAGTTAAAACAGTTTTAAGATACGTAACTGAGTTTATCATAGCAATACCTTCTATTACTTGTTTTCCTTCCAGGGCCTTGTAAATTGCTTCAGAGAAGGATTTTCAAAACTAGACATTGTGCACCTCTTCCAGAATTTTTGCCAAATATGTCACTTGTACTATTATCTAATTGAGTAATATTTTCTTTAAATAAATTTAGAGCCTTTATCTAGAATGCTGTCTATGATGGGGCTATATAACTCCGGCAAATGAATATCTTGCCTTAAAAAAGTCTTGGTAAAAATTAATACACTGAAAACAAAATTATAGCTTTATATTCTTACCTGCCCTTAACTGAACTAAGGGGAGAGAGAGAGAGAGAGTAGAAATTATTAGAGAAACATGAAATACACACTGGTACTAATATGAGACTTTATACTTCACATAATTAGATTAATTAAAAGAAAGTTTTAAAAGGAGTAACTTTTTAAAATGATCTAATGTATGCTACTTAATACATTTTGCTTACTATCTATAATCATTGCTTATAGCCATGGCCCACTTTGGGAAGCATGCCTTATTCGATGACCCCCAAACAGAACATACACCAGACCTGAGTTTATATCACCTTTGCTTAACTGCTTAATCTTTGGCAAGATACTTAATTCCTTTCAATCTTGATTCCTTATCATAAAAGAGGGATAGTAATATTTACATTTCAAGATAACTTTGAGAATTTATGAGGTTATAATCACACCATGTCTAGTCCTGTGCCTGAAATTTATTTAAAAACATGAATACCTTCTATATGCCAGTCACTCTCCTTGGCACTCAAGGTATGGAGGAGCATATGACTGAGAAGAGATCTGCTTTTATGCAGCTTACCTTCTTTTTAGGGAAAATCGACCATGAACGTCTCAATAAACAAGCAAAGTCATTTCAAGCAGTGATAAAAGGCTCTGAAATAAGTAAAATCAGGCGATGTGAAAGAAAGTGCTGGTATTCAAGAAATACTCATTTCCATCCTGACTCCCATCCCTACATGATTAGTATTTAGTACATGGTGGAAAAAAATGAAAGCTGCATTAAGAATATGCTTGCTTATTGGAGTAAGGCAGGTGCAAAGAGTAAGTGTGAGTAATAATGGCAGTTAAAAACATATCTGTATGTCCCTACTTTTAAGCTTCTGGGCTAAGAAAGTTAAGTCTTCCTTCTGAAGTTACTTTTTTGTAGAATGTCTGATCTTCTCTTAGAAAACATTTAATTGTTAAATACAGTACTTTTGTCATGTCTGTGTGTGTGTGTGTGTGTGTGTGTGTGTGTGTGTTTAATCTCTAGAAGTTATTTTATGTTTGATGGGTTTCATTGATTTAGGAAAGCTGAGAAAATTTGTTTCACGTAATTCAAGCCACTAACATTCTTTTGGAAAAAATAATAATAATTTTTAAATTACCTATATTTTTATTCCTATGCAGATTAATTTCACTAGGTAATTTCTCAGGACAACTATTTTTTTGACAAAATTTCTAAGTACCTGCAATATAAGAAATAGTAAGCCACTCACTTTAAACAAAACAAAACTGAACCTTCTACAGGCTGTATAGAAGTAGGAACCTATTGCTGAATTCAGCTATCAGCAAAGAGTCCCTTAATGGGCAGGGCTCAGAGGTCAGGCTGTACATGATGACAGAATAGTTAACTGAGATGGAATAATTTGCTTTTGTACCTAAGACAAAGGATGGATTTATTTAGATAAAGAGAAATAAGTTCTGAGATGCCAAAGACCTCTTATTTGACCTGTGCAAGATAAATTAATCTATTTGAGGCATTGCACACTAATTTTGGAGGGCCAGAAAAATGGTTTTTCTCTTTCAGTTTCTCCATTACTTAGCCACTCCAGTCATTTGCAATGATTTTGAGTTTTGTTGCTTTGTTAGCATTGTCTAAATGGCATAATTATTGGAATTAAGATTTTGAAGAATCAATTAGAAGAGTCTCTAGTTGGATACTCAATTAACCACTATTGCCAAGGCAGCTACCCAGCTCTCACTGTCTTTCATCTCAGTCATAATTGAATCCTGCTTTTCTCAAATAACAATGAATCTTTTGATCTCTGTAAAGAAGGAAAGATCAAGCTGATCCTCAGAATCCACAAATGAATGTCTTTCCCACCGCCCCCCCTGCCAAAACCTTCTTCAAAGATGCTGTTAAATTTGAGTTGCAGTTATGTTTTCAGTATAATTACCAGGCACAAAAGAAAATTACTTCCTTTATTATCATAACTGAAAAATACATTTCTTTCTTCTTCCAGTTTTTTATGTTACATTTTAAATCAACAGTTTCATGCATATTTTACTTTTTCTCTGGCAACTTACAATAAGAGGCTTTCAAAGTGATTTCACATGTTTTTTCTTTGTGTCAGAACGCTTACCTCTAAAGCAAGTAGTTCAGTGCCACTGGCCAATAATTTACTTTAGAAACATAATGTTTTCTGTTCTCCAGAACAGCAATTATGAATGCTTAACAGACCAGATGATGTAGCTCTTGTTCTGACCCCAATACTTACTATTTGTTCTTTAGCAAGTGAAATTTGAGTTCTGAACTCCCAGTTTCAAATCTGTAAAGCAACAATATTTTGCCCATAATGTTATTTGAAAGGATCAAATGTAAATATATATGTGCTGCTTTTTAAACATTGCAATGAACTTTACAATGCAATTTTATTATAATAAAACTACATGGCTTTAAAAGAACTCAAGCAGCATGCAAGGGTTCATGAAGAGTTGCAATGTTTAACTTCATTTTTTTTAGTGCCCACTTTGTACAGCCACTTGCATTTGTATGGGCAATTGGGATTTTGAGAGCTTGAATTTAGTGCTGAAAACCTCAGTTCTGCTCTAAACAAATCTGTGGAGAGGACCACTGAGATTCCAGAGGTAGAAATTTGAACTGATCCAGATCTACACTTACTTATACTCTATCAGGCTTGATGTATATATCTGATCAATGGACTGCCTCAAGTTACTTATAACAATAGTGACACAAGGGACTCCATCCATAATAACATCAATTTAGCGACAAGTCTCTGTTAACATTATCCTCTTCTGTTGCTCATTACATCATTCACCAAACCTTTGACAAACAAAGCTATTCTAGAATTTATGATTTGGTTCAAATGGCTGTCTCATCCAGAGAGTTCTCCAAATGCAAATCAGGGATTTCAGTTCAGAAGAAAATTGGAGACCCTTAAACAAATGTCTGAGATCATGTTGCATTTTATTTTGTGGAGTTGAAACTGAGACGAGCCGACTGAGATGATGTCAAAAAAAGAAGCCTAGCAAGTAATGTGACCCTGTGATGGTAAATTTAATGTGTCAGCTTGACTAGGCTACAGAGTCCAGTGGTTTTAGCAAACTCCAGTCTAGATGTTGCCATGAAGATATGAAGATAATTTTTAGGTGAAATCACCATTTAAATTAGTAGATATTAAGTAAAGCATATTAATCTCCATAATATGGATAAGCCTTATCCAGTCAGGTGAAGGCCTGAAGAGCAAAGACATGTTTTCCAAAGAAGAAATATGACCTGAAGACCAGACATAAAAACTTTGCCTGAGTTTCTTACCTGTCTATGAAATTTGGACTCCATACTGCATGATCAACTCTTACTTGAATTTCTAACCTGCTAGCTTGTCCTACAAATTTTATACTTCTCAGCCCCTACAGTTAAGTGAGCCTATTCCTTACAATTTAGTGAGCTTATTTGTTACAATAAACTTCTCTCTCTCTCTCTCTTCATATATATATATTTATCTCCATATATGTGTATATATACATATATTTACACATATACACACACATGCACAAGCACGTTCTCCCACTATATATATGTATAGTGTGTATGCATATGTGTGTGAGTGTGTGTATGTGTGTGTATATATTCTATTGATTCTGTTTCTCTGGAGAACCCTAATGCAGGTATGCCATGGTTGTTAGAAGAAAAGACGTTTTCTTTACTTATTTTCATAATCCAACAAAATGAAGTGGAGTATCAGATAACAGTTTAAATTGTTAATTCACTCACTGAACAGTCCTGTCAAACTTCATCTACTTTCAGTTTTCCAACACTTATTTTTTGCATTTCAACTAAGTGTCTAACTTGAAATCTTATAGCAGCAGAATTCTGTGTTCAAGAAGCCAAGTTTCTAAATAAAAGTTTTTTTTCCTGTGAAATTCTAATGTTATCTCAAGGATAATACCTTGTGATCTTAAATTATAGCCATTTACAAATATCATTAAAATCCATTTGTGTGCTTTGGAAAGAAAGCTAAAACTTGCTATCTATTAAGACATAATAGAGCTGTAATTCACATTCATTCTGGGAGATCCAATACACCATTTTTTAAGAAAATAGAACACAGAAAGGAACTAACATTTAGAGAGTAGCAAAGAGTGGTTTGAAAAATTAAGAGAAATGACCACTGTAGATGTAGTCTGCATGTTTGCACACAAACCAATCAGGAACAAACTGACTCAATTATCTAGTCATAACTATGCCAGGCCCTTTGGGTGCGGAAGCTGTAATCTAATGAGAGAAACAAAGCTAAAGAAGGAAGCATTTACGTCAATATTTTCAGGTTCCTAAACCTTTTGTTTAGATCTGGAAATAACATAATAAAACAAAAATTACCCAAAAAAGTTAAGCTGATTATTCAAGGTTATAGAAATGACCACAGCAGGCCTCCGCTAGTTTATCTCAATTTTCCAATGCTGAAGCCCTGCTCCTGTAGCTCCAGGAAAACCACCCAAAAACCATTGAAAAGTCAAGGTTTCCTATTTCCTCAGTTATTAGAGTGCAAGGATTGTAGGTGTGTCATCTATTTAAAAATATTTGGAGCACAGAGAATCACTAAAAAAAACTCTTTGTGTGTGTGTACATACATATGTGTGTATGTGCATATGAATGTGTGTGCGTGATATATACATACACACACATATGGAGAGAGAGAAGTACTTCAATTTCAGAAATTTTTTAAAAATTCATGCTTTAAAAACCAAATTTCATAGATATTATATGTAAAAGTTTATAAAACTATAGAGATGCAAAAGAGAATGGCAACATTGCATTTGAACAAATCGAGACGGTTTACGAAGGGAAGGTGACAGGAAAAGAGGACGAGATGGAAAATCGATTGGGACCCGCAACAGTATGAGCAGAAGTGCTGGAACAGGAATGACAGAAATTGATTTTGGGAAACTGACCAGTGTAGAATGAAGAGCCTGGGTTGTGAGTAGCTGAGATAAATTTAGATAGATTGAGAAGCATTATTGAGGCCAGGACACCTGAAGGGTTTGATTATCTCTGTACATCCGGCGTTTAGAACTGTCCTTGATACACTGGGTGTTTAAATATAAAGTGAAATTTTGCTCGATATAGGAGGTAGTAGGAGGGCAGTTTCTTTAAAAAAAAAATCTAAAAAGTACTTTGTGTTATTTTCTCCCATAGGCCTCATATTTAAGCCATCAATGCAATTACATATTTAAACAATACAATATTAATTCAAACTATTGCATTCATAATATTATAAAATCACATGTTCCCCAAAACTCAAAACTTTGTGACAATTATGATGTTAAATTGACTAGAAGTAAGCAAGCACAGAGACATGTTGTACAGTGCGACCAATCACTTCATTTTGCTATCATTCAAGTAGTACACTACGGTTTTAGAGATACCTGGGATTTGCCTTATTTAGGTATAGTAAGACACAGACTCAGCAACGACTGTCATGAAGGCAGAAGTTTGTTATATTCATAGATCCCTAGGAACAGGAGGCTGGCAGCCATGAAAGGGGATTGGTCAGCAGACAGAGGGAGGGGGAGAACATGGGAGTGAGAAATCTTTCCTGTGGTTTCCTTGGGAAAGTATGGGCCAGGCCAGGTAGTGTAAATGGTTTAGAATTGGCTAATTTGAATACTTTTAGCAGCCTCTGGGGTATAGGCACTCTCTCTGCTATCTGATATCTGGCCCTGGGGTTATTAGGACAGGACGATAGTGACTGAAGTACAAAAGCCTGATAAAGAAGATGGCTAAGTTATGGGCTCTGGATTGGTTGGTTTGTATTTGAAAGCTGTGCTCAAGGGAGAGTTGCATATTATCTGTAGGAATTGGCTAATCCTGGGAGGAGCAGTCCCTCCAAACTCAGCAAGACCTGCATGTCAAATCGTCACAAAACAGAACATTAAAAGACATGGTTCAATCACATAGATGCAAAACTGCAATTCAGAAGCTGTGGCTACCCAGCACATAGGTCTGGTCCGCTAAATATAGCCCAGAAAATCCTAAGATGTTATAAACAAACATGAAAGGAGGCCAAAAAGACCAAAATACTACTCAGGAAACTGATTATGAGGCAAGAAGCAGACTAAACCTTGAAGCACTGGTACTGATTCCATGACATCCCAGCATTTGTGCTGAATGAAACTCTAAGCTACTCATATAAAAACCTTTCTTGAGACTAGTAGTTTCAGAGGAGCAGATGGGAACAGCTGAAAAACATTAGATGAGAAGGGTAAGAGCACAGAGAGGGGGAGCTTTAAAAAGTTTCCCACTTGAGAAGAGCCAACAAATGAAAATAACAAAATGGGAAATGTGAAGATAGCTGGCTAAAAAAATAACTACTCAGGAGATGAGTTAATTCCAGATAAAATTTTAATACAGAACAACCTTAAAATGAGTTTAAAATAAGTGTTTACAATTCTCAGAGAGGCAAAGGAAGGAATGTTCTCTATTGAAAAAGAAATTATATGAGTTAGAAAATAGTTACTAATCCTAGAAAACATGTAAGTATCTAAAAACACGCAAAACTGAAAGTTTAACTGTAGAATCAACAAAATTAAAGAAAGAAGAAAGTGGAAGAATGAACTGAGATCTGGAGAGTTCTTGAGAACCCCATTTAATAGTTTCATGGGATACTAGCAAACGATAACAGAGGAATGTTGGAAGTGCATATTGAAAAAGATAATGACAAAGAAAGTATAACATATGTAAAAACATTGGTAAGGAAAACATTAACCCGTAGTTTACCAATCTATCAAAAATTAGAGGAGAAAAGAGAAGCCAGGAAAAATCTCTGATGAAACAAAACTATGAGCAAAGATGATTCATAGAACTCCAAATATATTGTACTAACAATAAATGAAAATGGATTAAATGACCTTATTAAAAATCAGAAATCATTGGCTTGGATATAAAAAAATCAGTTATTACCTGCTTATCATAGACAATTTTACACACACACACACACACACACACACATGCACACACATGCACACACACACGCACCAGAAAATTTCAGTTATAAAGATAAAGATATACTGGCATATATGAACCAAAAAACTTAACATAGCAGTATCAGTCAAAATAAGAAATGAAGAAAAACCATTACTATGAATAAAGCATGTAAACCAAAATTCTTTAAGAGACTATAAAAATTCTAAATTTGTATATATTTAAACAACATGAACTTCAAAACATCAAAAAACTGTACAACATAGATTACAAAATAAATTGACAAAATCACAATTATAATGAAAGAGTTTAAGACCTCTCTCAGAC